GGCCTCCTGGTAGTTAGGACAGGGCCACCCCTTCACTGTCCAGTGCTTGTTGCCAAAGGTACTCTATTGGTCAATTGGATCTGCTCTTCTTATTACTACAAACAAAGTTACCAACTCAGAATAGTCCTAGCTTTTGACTTCGGAGATTGGTTCAATCACAATCCTTATATAGATTGTCTACATGATCTACAGGTTCCCTCCCTATTGATTGGTAGCTATATTCGAAAATGTCAGTTATATACAGTTATGCCAACAGATAAATGTTCATGCCCTCTGTGGGGTTTGAACTTGTATCTTGTGATCTGATCTACGGAGTGCTAACCACTGCACTATGGACCTGTAGGTTAATTTAAGTTATTAATAAATTAAAATTGTTACAATTTTTAATAGAAAATACTCTTTATTGATGGCTAGAAAATAAATTGCATGGTATTACAATATTACCAATGAAAGGTATAACTTATAATTGTTTCAAAATTTGGTCAAAAAACAGTATCAGTTATAAAAAATGAAGAGAAGGTAAAGAAGAAACATATTATATAGATTATCATTATAATCAATTATTGACAGATCAACATGCTTTACAAACACTTGAAATATCAATAATGAAAAATAAAGAAAAAAATGATAAAAAAATCAAATTATTTTAGAGGTTACTGGCTATAATAGGGAGTATATCAATATAGAAGCAAGCAAATGATCATAGGTTGAATAAATATATTTATTTAAATTTACCAAAAGAAAAATTTTTAAATTTAAAGTTAAAAAATATTTCTGAAAGAAAATATACTAGTTAAAATTTTTTTATTAAAATAAAGCTAGGTTAATCTAAATATATTTAATTTAATTTAATTAAATCAAAGCAGTTATAGTTGACATACTTTGAAACAAGTTCAAAATATATTAAATCAGTTTTAAATTGTTTTTGCATTGAATTTGAATCAGATTCAGATTGGAATAAATCAAATCAAATTTGGATTTGAATCAGATTGGATCAAACTATTATGGTTTCAAATCAGATTAGATTAGTTTAAAATAAATCAAATTTATATCCAATTTGTATTTATAAAAATCAAATCAATCAAATCTAGTTAAAATTTGATCTGATTTAATCCATTGTAATCACTACTACCTTATACTTGAAAAATTTCTTTTTTGATAGTGAATATAAAATTTTTTATTTCTTTGCTTATATAGAAATCAAAATAAAATTTTCTTCTTTCTTATTAATCTTTTTTATATATTATAAAGTATTTTCAATTTCTTCAAAGTTGAAAATTGTTTAAACATTATAATTAAGAAAATCCTTTTTAACATGTCTTTGAATGAGCTTAAGATACCTTGAAAATAAACTACTTATTTGTTTTCTATATTTCCTGATATTCTGAAAATAGAAATTTTAATCTTGAATTTTTTTTTTTTAATAATATTAAATAAATTGAGACTGAATGATATAAATCTATTTTATGTATTATAAGAGATTTGCTCTACTATATTTTTTTCTTTAGCTTTTTCCTGGATGATTTCTATTTCAAGTTTTTCTTTTAGTTTATTATTATTTATTTCAATTTCAATATTATTCAAAATTTCAATATTAATTGTTGGTTAAACTTTTATATCTTTATTTGAAGAAGTATTTTTATTTAAGATTGCATTTTCTATTATAAAGTTTATAAACTAATACTTGGTTTGAAAAGTTTTAGAAATATAAAAGGGGTACCTATTTGTCAAAATATTTTGTTCCAAAATATGTCTAACTTTTTTTTTTAAAAAAGATGCTATAAAGTCTACTTTTTTCATTTTTTATTTTTTAATTAGTCCAATTAATAAAATAAAGCCTTTATTGGATTATTTAATAATATATTTTTTAAATTATATGAGCAATTTATATAATTCTATTTTTAATCAAGTATACCAATTTTATCATATAATAACAATATTTTCATTAGTTGTCGTACTCTATTCAGGTCTATAGTATTCTGAAAATTCACTATTAGATTTCTTTTTTATTAAATCTTTCAGGAGCTGTGATATATATTTCTCAGTATATTCTTTTTGCTTATTACTTAATAATAATAAATACCATATATGATTTTTATCATATTTAGTTCTTAAAGAGTTGGTTCAAATCTTAATTTTTATAGGTACAGTGGTCATGTATTGATACTCAGGTAGTTCAATAATGTACTTTGTGAATAATATATAGTCTTCTATTACTATTATTTTTAACTACTTTCCAGATATGATTTACAAGAAATATTCCTTGATCAAGTGAGACTTTAGATCTCTTTAAAATATATTACCCACTATAGTTTTTATTGTGATACTAATACTAATCACTAGTTTATATATCCAGTTATTCTTTCTAATAACTATTAGTTTTATAATCCATAAAATCTTCTATTAATTCAAGTTTGTTAAACCCATTATATTTTCAATTGATATAAATAATTGAATTCTTCTATATCTTCTATGAGAATTTTTTTCAAAAAGAGATGGATGTTTACATTTTTGTTGGAGACTTAAACCAATTAGAGTCTTTTTTTATTATCTTGATATCTTTACATATTCTAGATATTGAGAATCTTTTTTTTAACTAATCAAAATATATATTATTTGATTTTTGCATTGTGATTAAATAGTGAACTTCTATAGATTGTTTATGTACAAGTAATAATAGGTTCCTAAAGTATTTAGTATATAAAATTTAACAGATCACTTATGTCCTTTTTTGAGATATAAAATTCATAACTCTTTCCTTTAATAGGAACCAAAAATCAAGAAATACTATAAATCAATAATTTGGATAATAGAGAAAAATTGTATATAGTTTTTTTATAGTTATTAATTGAAAATTTTAATATTTTCAATTAGAATTAAATTAATAACTCGTGAATAGTGATCTGGAAGTATATCTACTATGCTATTGATCCACATGTCTTCTTTTTTTTCTTGATCTTATATTAATAAGTATAGGATATACTATTAGAGAATCTTAGTTTTAATTAATATAGTTGGATCTCTATTTAAGATTTTTTATTAAAATACTATCAAGTATTAAGTATTCTATTAATTCTGATATCTAATTGAACTTATCTTGTATAATAAGAGTATCAAAGATAATTTGGATAGTCTATATTTTTTTTCTTTAATTATGTTTTTCAGTTATTTTGATTATTGTTTTAAAGATATGAAATTTTTTTTTTTATAATTTACATAATTTTTTGTTTCTTTATTATATTGATTATATATAAAGGAGAATAAATTATTAATTTATTGATTTGTTTATTTTTTATTTATTTATATTTAACAAGATTTATAGGATTGATTATTTATTATTTTATTTAAGTTCTTATATATTCAAATAAGTTATTGATTCTCCTATTTGATTCTGTTATTTATTATATTGTTAATATGTACATATTTGTATAACTTGTTTTATTGTTTAATAAGGTATATATAGAATTAGAATACTTTATTATTTAATCTTTGAGAACCTTTGATGTTTTTTTAAACTTTGTAAACTTTAAATTTTTCCTGATTTATTGATAATAATTATTATTTATAAAATTCTTTTTAGTATTTAGAAAGGTGTAAATTGATACTGATTTAATTAAAAGCTTGAAAAGTTAATATTAAGCTCTCTTAAGCTTATTGTAAATTAGTTTATAGATATGTTTTTTTTCTTATAAAATAAAGCTAAAATGATATTATGTTATTTATACTTCTTTTGCTCAATAAAATGATTTTTTGAAAAGTAGCTGAATATTATAGTTTGTTGTTAAGTTTCAAATTTTGAAGAGATAAAGAGTTTTTAAATTGATTTCTCTTTTTTAAGAAAATTATCAAAAAAAAATTTTTTAAGGAAAAAAGAGATCAACAGAAAAAAAATTTTTTTTTTAACTCAAATAATTTAAGTAATTCATTTTTAATAATATATAAGTAATAATAATTTATTCAAAAATAAAATAATTTTATAGAAATAATTTTATTTGACTTTTGAAAAATTGAATATTTTTTTTGACTTTAAAACTAAAGGAATTGTTTTATTTATTTTTTTTATAAACTATATTTCTTATAAACTATTATATGATAATTATTTATTAATAAATCTATTTTTAATTATTTCTTTATTATTATAAATTACTTTTTGAATTATTTTTTTGAAAATTGTTATTTTAAAAATAATTTAACTTGAATATATATTATAAATTTGATTATAATATAAATATAAATTAATTAAAATATAATTTTAAATTTTTATCAAATTTCAATTTTAATTGATCCAATCATATCACTTTTTTTCTTTTCTTTCTTTTTTTCACGCGCGCGATTTAATAAAGAATTATAGATTTTCTATTGGTCGAATTAACGGTACAAGTTCGACTTATTTAGGCAAGTGTATAATGATAAGAATCACACAATCAGTAATTTTCCAACAACATACTTACCATCAAAAGAAAAGCAACCCGCCAACAATAAGTCTGCTGATGGAAGAGAACCCAAACTTGGTAATTTTTTTCAGCCTTTGTAACACTGTTCGATCAATCGATAAAGTGTGCGGTCGGCTAATTGAAATTGTTTCACAACCTAACAGCTGTAACCATTTGGGAAAACGTCCTATCGACACAAATCCTGTGTAACTTATGTTGTGTACAACCATTACAAGCATCACGACCGTTGATAGGCCTTCATCACCCATTACGTATTAAATGCCTCATCCTTTTATTTATATATAAACCACCGCTCAACCTTTTATTTCAAATTCCTCTTATTATATATAAAACACTTTGCCCTGTGTAAAAATAAATATCAAATATAATAATATAAGAGCCCGCCTTCTGCTTACCTTATAAAATCACAACTCCCACATATAATATTAAAAAAAAAAAAAAAAAAAAAAAAAAAAAATAATCCATCCACCTTTTAAGGTGACACCGTGGTAACACTATGGTAACCTACAATTGTTGGCCATATCCGTTCAAATCGACAGTGAAAAAATGGGTCGTGTAAGGCGAGACAGTCTAGCAACAACAGAAGAGATAATTGACGGCAAAGCAATATTTACTAACTCTAAAGACTCCTTTACGAAATTTAAAGATTCCTCGTTCGTGAACAACAACGTTTGCACTAAATGTAAAAAAGAAGAGAGTGAGTATTTGCTCTTTAGCTCCTTCTCTTAAAAATTCACTCGCTAAAGTTTTTTTTTTCCCGGGTAAGGTGGTTGGAACCAATGCCTTCTCTCCTATTAACCTTTCTCACCTGTTATCTCTTCGTCTGATATTTTTCAAATTAGGTGTAGACGGTCGCTGGATACAATGTGATAAGTGTTTAAAATGGTACCATACGGCGTGTGTGAAGATTCAATTGGACAGCAACGGCAAATTCTCGGGCGACTATTATTGTAGGGAATGTAGACGCTCGGCAAAGCAAACAAAACAAGAAAATTCTCCAACGTATGTAATTATTCTGCTATACTCAAATATATTTTCGCTTGTTTTGTTTTTTTTACGTCGCAGCTTTTTCCCGGGCCTCTTGCTAATAAATAATCGAACATAATTAATTGTCAGTGACAGAGAGTGTAAAAGAAGTAGAAGGCTTTCTGTTTCTTCGGCCAGTTCATCACGCAGTAGCGGAAGCTCACACAAGAAGTTAAAAACTTCAAATGGGTCAGTTTCACGCATAACGCCACCTCCTTTTGAGCCTTCTGCTCCCTCAGAGGATCATGATGACATTGAGACTATAGAAGTAGAAAAAGACCAAACAACTCTGAATCTGCATGACAACATTAGCAGCACAGATATCAACGGTACGTGCAAAGTTCATGGTCCATCGTTGAAAGTGAATTGGTGCACATTAAATAGTGTGAATGAATTCTTCATAACTCCTTTTCAATTGATTCTCCAATTTGATCTATTCTATTATACACTCTTTATTTATAATATACGTTATTATTTTTTTAAAATTCAGAATTACCAAAAAGGCAAACATGCAAGTTTCAAAAAAACGGCATATCCCAGAAACTTAATAACAATCATAATTTCAACGATAATTCCGTCACCGTTTCCAATGGAAATGGTCACGGTGGTCGCAAAGAGAAAAGGACATCATTCGTTACCACCACCACCACTGACGCAGAACTACCAATATTATTTCACCCGTATAATTGGTCTCATCCTGTTTCATACAACCGCGCACTTCATCGTGTAGCCCAGATACGTGAGTTTATCTTGACTCATTGTCCAGCTGCTGCTTCTTCGTCGCCGCTATCGTCGTCATCGGTTAACGGTGTTAAAGTTAATGGCATTGGAATCGACGTGATGGAAGATATAGTTGAGAATACGAATTTTCCTGAATCATCAATAAGAATTGCGATTGATTTGTGGAATAAACTGGAAAGGTTGGAGAAGTCGTATAACAAAAAAAAACCTTTCATTACAAAATCATAATATTAGCTTTGTAATCTCGCATCCTTGACGAAACAAAATTTAATTATCAAAAAAACGAACAATTATTTTATTTTTTTTCATAAAACGAATGATTACACTTTGCATTTACGTGTGTGGCTGAAGGAGATGAAATACTTTCGAAAGATATATTATCAATGACAGAATTTATTTGAACCGATCGGTCACCCTAAGGTTTGATGGCGATGGCGGATACTTCACAGCGATGTACAGTCGTAGAATTTGCATATATATATTATTTTCCATAATCACTTTTATTGTACCGCGGTATTTTTCCGCGGATGTTATGTAGGCTGTACGTACTTACAGAAAAAAATACTTTTTTTAGATTCTATATTTTGTAAATATTTTCTTCCGAAATAAAAATGTGTGAAAATAAAATTTTATTTCGTGCGATGTTAAAATAAAAATTTTATTTATAAAAACAAATTTTTACTTGCGATTTTAAATATATATTAATATATATACAGTATATACAGTATATATATATTTTACTTATACTTTATTTTTATTTTTTAATTCACAATCATGCCATCCTAGTGTGTCTTTATCGAATATTAAATATACATATACAATATTACATTGACTATTTGCATATTGACTAACTCATTATTATATATTATTAGTTGAAGGATTATATTATCTAAAGAATATGAGAAATCCATTAAACTAGTTTGAATTATACAAAATAAAATCTTATTTAATACTGATAAATTGATATTACAATCTCTATCTATTAGAATTATTATATATAGTCTATTATTATAGATTATTTTAAAAAAATAACAATTGCCAAATTAATATACTAGTTTTTAGAAAAGATTTTGAATTTTTATTTTATTTTCTTTTATTTTCTTTCTTATTCAAATAAACAATTTCTTTTCAAAAGGAATTTATTTTATTAAAATATTTTCTAACATTAAATTATTTAAAAAAATTATTATTTTTTTTATTTTTAAAATCTTTAGTCAAGTTAAATATATGTTTTTTATTAAACATTTGTATACTTTATATTTTGAAATTTTTCACTAAAACTAAATCTTTATTTATCTCACTTATCTCTATTTTATAATTTTTTAAAACTTTAAGTACAACTTTGAGAATAATTTATTGCTTCATTAATAATTCAAATAAAAATCTTTCCAACTACCAATTTCATTATTTATAGATTACTATTACAAATTTATTCTATAAAATTCTAACTTAAAATTTAATTATTTTATTTTATTTTCAATTTATTTTGTCAAAATCTTCTTGAAATTTCTATCTTTTAAGCTTTTTTTCTTTATTAATAACTTCTTTTTACTAAAGATATAGTTTTCAGACTTGAAATAAATAAAAAATTTTTAATTTTGTCTTCTTTATAAATTCTTTATATTTACTTTATTCAATTATTTTTTTATATCTAATATTTTAAATTCTTTTTGAACTTAGTTATAATTCCTTTTTATAATTTAACCTTTATTTTATATATTATTTAAATTCTACTATTTTTTGAATAGGATTATTTTTTATAAAATCAATATAAAAATTTAGAATATTTTAACTAATTTTTAAGATTTGTTCTACTAATCTATAAATTTACTTATCAAGTTTTTTAATTTTTTATAATTAATTTAATATTTTTCTTTCTGATTTCTTTTTTTTTTTTTGTAAAAATTCTTTAAAGTCTTTAAAAATTCTATTTATTTTTTTCTTTTATATCTCTTATACTTAATTTTTATAGGCTAAACATTCTAGCAAATATTTATTATTTCAATTTTTTTTTTTTTAAAACCCTAGGTTAGGCTAGGTATGTGTGCTTTATTAAACATTTGTATACTGTATATTTTAAATAATTCACTAAAGCTAAGACTTTACCTAAC